AGTAGTAGTAGTAGTAGTAGTAGTAGTAGTAGTAGTAGTAGTAGTAGCCGCAGCAGCAGCAGGTTATCTAACTTCCACAGCTCATCTAACTTCTGAGTCACTGCCACCAGCTGTTCCGGAAGCAAATGAACATTCATACAAAAGTACATAGTTAATCTTTCGCCAGATCTTTCGCCAATTTTTTTTAACTTTCGCCGCCAACTCGAGAAAAACACTTTCGCCAAATGATATTTTGATATGTACACAATGCTGTCTAGGACCTTTAGATCGACAACCATATACATATACACATATTTATATACATGTTTAAGCTATATTAATCTATACTAATACTAATTAATGTAATTACAAATGGTCAACCTGATGAATCTCACCTCGGTCTGAAGCCCCTCTCGAGTCCATATGAAGTCTGGCCCTTCAGATCCGCAGTCGTGTCAACTCCCAGCGATCGACTGGGAGCCGGACCAACAAGATCAAGCCCATGTGGTTGAAATTCATGCAAGCGATGCCTTGGAATGCAGGAAGTGAACTGGCAGTGGCAGGATTTGCTGAGGCTATCTGTCTGAAGATTATGTATAGCTCAACAACTTCTATTACATTGGCTATTCTTGCCACTTGGGTTTCGTAGTTTGTTCCATTCTGATACAGAACAACTGATCTTGGTTTGAATGCTTGGGGGTCTGGGGTTCTAGTGGTTGGCCGACCCAATGCCTCTTCTGAAGCAAACAGACTGTATATTTGGTCCTCGGACCCAAACAGAGGCCGCAAGACATCCTAAGACCCGGAGAATGGTAAACATGTTGCACTCCGACTCCGTGTGACAACGAATGTGGAGAACCCACGGCTTTTCATTAAGATCATTAAGGATAATACAGTATTCTTCTCAAGGCACATGTTCCACTTACATATAACGTGCTGGAGTGTAGGCACTTGCGTCATGGTGCCACCCTGGTGGCCAAGTGGCTCCACACATCCTCTGGCTTGCAAAGCACTAACTTTGTGGCTGTGAAGCGCGCAATGCCCGCTGTGAAGCCCACAGTCATGCCAGCCAAAGCTCCTGAAGAACGATGTTCGAGGCAATCAATCCAGAGAAGCGGATCACTAGGAATGGTTTGTGGATCTTCAGAGGCCATTGAAGGTGGAGCTTGCCCTGCTATTATGGCTGGCGCATGCTGGCGCTACATGAATGAAGTTCGCTCACGATATGTGTTCCAGTGAGATGACCCAACACTCGTCTGGACTGGACTTGGGCTCTGTCGTACTATGAATGGGGTGCTATAACTTTGCCAAATGCAAACACCGACAGTTGCAGAAAGACTTCAAAGTACCCCAACTTAGCACTCAAGACTTCGAGGCAGCTTGATGTGCATGGCGTGTAAGTTCTGCCGTCACTTCTAAGCAAGGCCAACGGACTGGTCCCGCGGAATGAACTCTCAGCTTTCCCCCCAAGTCCCCGGGCCTGCACCATTGGCACGTGGCCAAAACAAGCCCACGAGGAAGACCGCCACGAGTGTGGGAGCCATGTGAGTCTGCGCGCTCTGCGTAGTAAGATATAAACCTGAGCAATTAGCATGATGCACTATCTCAACCAGAATCATCCAACGCACATGGGGTTCCACAACTCATCGATGCGTATGCTTTAGCCAAGATTCCAAGATAGAACCTGGTTGTTATAGATTTTGTGGGAACATCGTTTGCAGCATCTTGCAGAAATATCCATCAATGGACACTCATGATAGGCACAAATGAGCACAGCCCCTGTGCAAAGAGGACATAACAAATCGAATTCACATCAGCTCATGTCGGTGACCTGTTGTTGCTGGAGAATTTGTGGCGAGGTCTCTCTCGAATCGACATGGATACTACCCTGAACATCTCAAGGGCACAGGACGAACTGTACAACAACAGTATGACCTCGCTGAATTACCTCAAGTCTTGGGAATGTCCTTTTTGATCATACCTATACTCTACTGCACTGACCGACCGCAAGTATTGAAAGAAAAACACAAAACCCTGAACCCCGCTGTGTATTATGTATTTTTTACCCTTCCAATACTCAGATTAGCTCCGACTCCTCATATCACTTCAAAATCCACCGAGTCTTCCCATCACCTCCTCTATTTTTCTTTGGGCGACCCCCCTTCCTGTCCACCCTTTGTGACCAGTGAAGCGCCATCAGCACTGGAGGCGATCATAGGTAGCCAGGCAAAACCGCAGCAGGCAGCGCCGAAGGTCACGAGCCGTCCAACCCAGAT